TAAATGCGAGACGAAATGAGGAACAAATAATTTCGAAAGTTTTACCTATGTTACAATAGGGATTTTGATCACTAATGCAAAAATAAATTATCATTTTCTGAAAAAAAAGTTCCACTAAAATATTTGAATTTTTCTCTTGACAATGTCGTACTTGTTATCTGTAGCGAAAGGACAGCACAATTAAACTGACTGCAAAAATTATCGCGACAACATCCATTTGCATGGCTGATACCTCACTGTGAAATGTGTTTTTCTGATTTAAAAACTTACCCCTCAACTTTTTCATATCATCTCATGTCAGAATTCAAAATAAAATATATTTTAAATACTAGCATGTTTCTCAGAAATTAACAACTATAATACTTACGGGCAAATTTTCTGTATTAAAAGTCTTCAAATATATATTTTTTTCGATGAAAACAAAAGTTGATGGACAGGTTTGTAAAGAGATGATATGAAAAATTGAAGTATCATACATCTTATAAATTTAAAATATATTTTATTTTCGTCGAACGAAAATTTGGTAAAAAAATTTTAATACAGATTCTGACCAATTGATCGTGATCGCAGTTCAATAATGATCCATCCTAAAAATGAAATCAACTTAATTTTTTACATCTTAAATGATTTATAGCTTATTTTGCTGTGTCATTTAACAATTATACACCATCATAAAGTTGCTTGAAAGAATCTTTCCATCAATTTGCCAAATTATCTGTTCATTTATTCAACTAGCAAAGTAAGTAATAATCTGTGACCTAAATCAAAATACAAAAGTTCTCCAAATCGATTTGATTTCGATCATTTCTTCCTCACAGAACTGAAACCTTGAACAGTGGCATCCTGTAACAATCCTATTCATATTATGTTTATGCATTAAAAATTTTGTGAGAAAACTGGTTTCCTTTCATTTTTTTTTTGTACAGAGTTTGTGACTGTATTTACTTAAACTTAATTAGTTAACTAATCAGTCAATTAATAATTAATAATAAATCGTTTTTAGCAATGTTTTATATTGTTGGCAAAATAAAAAATAATGTATAATTTCTGAAATGAAGTTTTGAAGATTTATTCTGAGCATAAATTGATCGTTTGATTGTTTTCCTTTGCTGAAGATCGCAGCAACCAGAAAATTTGCTGATCAAATTATGGCTTTATGCTCAATATTCAACTTTTTTTTAAATAAATTTGCTTGGGAATAAATAATTATTTCTTGCGAGAAGTTAAGCATTATATCCAGGATGAAATTTGCATATTTTTTGCGTAAACTAATATTTGGTTACGATTCAGCCATTCCTTGCGCATGGAAACTTTTCCTTTTGCAGTCTGCTTGGATCATACCTTACTTATTGGTCTGTTTATATAATTCATACTGATCTATTACTTTTTCTCAGAAATTTTGAGAGAAAAATGTATAGGTAAAAAATTATCTTGCAAGTCACTTTATTTGGATTTTGAAAGGTCAAAGGGGATAAATCATTTTTTTCTACTAATAAGCATATCATTTAAAATTAATATTTCTTTTTTGTTGAGCATTTTATTTAGTTTTTTATGATAAGAATTGATAAAGATAAAAACAGGTTGTTTTCATTAAAAGTTTTTAAATAATAATAAATAATTATAGGTGGTTAACTACTTAGAACGAAGTCTATTACCATTACGCTTGTTTTGCTATACTCAAAATGAATTACTTGTTGTGCCTAAAGGTGAAAAGATTAACTTGCGATTATGTTTGCAACGATTTTTTTCAACCTCACAATTGCAATCAGTTAATCACAGCAAATGTTTGTATAAACAGCCAATCAAAACTCTTATTACACCAAAAATATCTCATAATCAGTCAAAAAAAATTGGTGTAATCCGTAGTGCACCATCTTCACGTGATTACCGTGATTTTATTCGAAAAACTTATAAATCTGGACTAGAGCCAGAAATTATAGTGTTTTTTGCACTTGGAACTGGTGATTACAATCCGTTAAATGAATCTGAAATCTATCATGATATTCTCCAATTTGATTTTGTTGATTCATATCACAATCTTACACTTAAAATGATTTCGATATACAATGAATTATTTAATAGATTTGATAATTTACAAGAAATTCTTGTAATTAATGATGATATTTTGGTGAATATTACGGCTATAAAAAAGGTATAAACTAGATTGATTGTATTTTGTATTATTTATTAAAATTAACTAAATTTATTCAATGAGAAGATTTTAACAAAACAATTGCTTTTTAATTAGTATTTTTCATCAAAAAATTTCTACAATTTAAATAAATGCAAGCAATCATACATAAATTTAATATACTGTATTCAGTTTCAATGTTAAATTCATTTCATATAATTATAAACACTGTGCTGAGTTTAAATATAGTTCAAATAGAAAAAATGAATTTGATCTTGTTAAGTGAATATGATTTAATTAATTTGAAATGGCTTTTAGTAACTCATTTAATGATTTAAAAATGACTCATTTAATGAATATAAAAATTAAGTTGTCACTCAAAAATTAAACTTGGTTCCAAATATATAGTTTTTATTTTTTCAGTGAGTAAATTAAATGTTAATAAAATGAGTTATCTTAAGTTAGAATTATTTCTAATTATAATAATTTTCCAGTTATTTTCTGATTACATTTTAGAAGAAGTAAATATAAACACTTACTATAGTGATGAATACTTTCTTATATTAAAATTATGTAAAATAAGCAAAAACTTTCAGAAGATCAAAATTCTCATATCTCGATACTTTTGCATAAAAATAAATAAATATGAAAAGTTTGATGTGCGTTTAAAATTTTTGATTTTTTTGATTCAAATTATTTAATAATAATAAAGAATGATTAGAAAGTTTACTTACAATTATAGTTCAGTAAAGGATTAATAATAAAAATCATTTAGTTAAATTTATTAAATAATTTGAACTTAGAATTTTTACTAGTGATGTGATTCATAATTAAATTGGTAGAAACAGATTTGTGTAGATACAAAACTTACTGTTGTAACCAGAATTTTAATTCATTTCAGTTGAATTCTTTTGAAAATGCAACAATAAGTGGCAAGGTAACACGTGGATTCCCACGAATAATTCTAAACTCTTCGAAATGGTACATACCATATGAAATGTATCCAAAATTGTGCTATCCACCGTTTGTACAGGTTCTTATTGCTATTTCAATTATTTTGAATTTAATTTGCTCTTAAAAATCGAAAATGTTAACTAATTACTGAATTAAAAAAGATAATTTCATTTACAATCCGGTTCTTTTATTCATCTACACATAAAGATTTCTCATTCATTTGCATATGCAAAAATGTTAATAGATGAATGACATATTTTTATAATTGCTTGCCAGAAATTTTGATTCACGCATGGATTTAATAACTAAAACAAATTTTCTGTATGTATATATATATATTATACGTTGCAATAATTGTGCAGGGAAAAACGCATGGATTATACAGATAATTTCACGTAATCTTTTTAGCTGGAGTTACTTTGCAACAATTTAAATTTAAAAATTAATTAATCTTTGCTATCATTTTTAATGCAACTTTGATTACTAAAAATTAGAAATCGAATTGAATTACTAATAGTCAGGAGTCAAGATTTATGTTTTAATTTCAGGGTGGTGGTTTTATTATTACACGTGAAGCTGCGCTTCGTGTAATTGAAAATATTTGTTCATTTCCATCATTTTATCTCGATGACGTATTTATGGGTATTTTGGCTAATTGTTTAGGCATTAAAATGGAACATATCAATGGATTTGATAAATCTTATCCGAGTAAATTTATCACTTTCCATCACCAATGGCATCGTTATTCTGTAAAACAGCTTCAACTTCTCTACCACACAATCAATTATTTATAAAACTGGAAATTAAAAAAAAAAGAATAAATATGTATTTTATGTTAATTTCAACTTACTGTAATTATTTGTAATTACTACAAATTACGAAGAATAACAAGCAAGTTCCACTCTTTGCTCATCAATCGAAATTTCGTTTATTTGAATATGCATAATTTTTGATGAACTGAATTCCATACTTTTAGAATCATTTGAATTTCTTACATTTTCTACCAGAAATTTCGATTAATGAATGGATTTAGTAACTTAAACTCAGTTTTAATTTCGGAAAGTAATTATCTTTTGGAGCTTATTTTATTTTTTATAAATAATTTTAAAGTTGCTATTGTTTTTAAAGTTGAAAAATGACTTTGTACGTAAGCATATTTAAGAGCTACTTGTAATTTAGAATACTAATTACGCCAAAATTATGAATAATTTGAAAATATTGGAAAGAAATTAGAACTTATAAAACAGTTCAATCTTTCCATTTCTTTTCTTTGCTTTATATTTATTTTGAATAATTTGTAGAAAAACTTTGAAAAACAATAAAATTATTGAAATGAAGCATATTTCTACATATTTTTTTATTATTGTGTTCACTAACTGTTAATAAAATTTTGCTAAATTTTTGCTGTATAAAAATTTTGAATATTTCAGTGCACTGCTGTTAACTTTATACTATTTTTTATTAAGTATAAACTGAGAATAACAGAAATTAATTTGCATACTCGAAAATACACTGAATATTTATTGCAAATAATCAAAAAAATTTCAAGCAAAAATAAAGTTTTGAGATTACTACATAATTTAATTGAAAATGTTGTCCAATTTATCAGCTTACTAAAGTAATGCTTAGAAATATTTAAATAATTGAAAGAAACAGCTCATTTTACTTGAGAGTGCTCGAAAATTTAAACACATTAACGACATTTTACTTTTGCAATGCATTAAAATTTTTAATAATTTACTAATTGAATTAATTAAAATATTTGAATAGTGATAATTTAATATTGATAAAAAATTATTAGGTAATTACTTCAAGCAAGTAAATACAATAAAACTTGTTTTCCTCATAGAAATTACAGACGCATCGTTTCATAAAAATAAGCTTTTGTTGCAGAAATTCAACGAATTTTAAAAGTTTTATCATAAATTTTGATAACGAAAGCAAATTATGTATTGATAACATTTCTTGAAAATGCTCCGTAAAAACAAAATTCAGGTCATATCCTCAAATTTATTAGGCTAAGATATTGTTCTAGTTCAAATTAGATCGATTTATTTAGATTAAAATTATTTACTGACCTGTAATAGATTTTATCTATTCATGATACTACTTGTAAGTGACAATTATTCACTGAAAATTTGCAAAATTTCGTTAATATTACTTTTCAGATCATTAAACAACGATTGTTAAAGCAGTACTGCTTTTTGTGTCTTAAGAATTTTTTAAATTAGATAAATGAATGAATCAAAAATGATATTTTCATTTTTACATTGAACACGTTAACTTAAATTATTTGTAAACGTGTCGTAAGCTTCATGATAAAATAACAAAAAAAATAAGTGCTGTCAAAATTATCTCTTCTGATAATTGAATTCTGATTAAAGCATTAGCAAGAATAACTGATAATGAAGCTGCGCGAAATTTGTTTTGTTTGATTTTCTGCCAATTTTATTCTAAAATATTTAATATATTTAAAAGCATCTTGTAGTTTGCATATATTTTAATGTAACATAATTATTTATTCACATATATAGAAATATCGTAAGCCATTTCGATATATGGATATAGTAAGCGATAAATACAGTTTTTACACAATATTGAAAAAAAAATTGATGAAAGTAATTGTTTTATTGATTTACTTTCTTAAATATGTGATATATAATTTCTGTTTATTTGTTTTGACCAAAATGTTCATATAAAATTGCAAAAAATGCGATAAGACCTTAAGTTACAGTTCCCATAAAAAATAATACAGTAACAGATAAATATAAATAAATCAAAAATGATATTTTCAATTTTTGCATTTACTGAAATTATTAATCAAGGGAAAGAAAAAAATTGCGGGCAACGTAACAAATTAAATCATTATTAGATAAAATTACAGTCATTTCAGATATTTTGAATTTAAGTACTTTAAAACTAAAAAAGTTTAAGATTATGCAACTTTAATTCCAAATTGATCATACATTACTAATCTTACACTTCTGATTATATTCATGATTGTGTTGACTGCAACTTTGAATTTCTGTATTAACTATAATCTCGATTCTTTTATGCTAAACAAGTTTTTACACACAATATTATCACCTTTATGCTACATATACAAAGTAGACTTCTAAGAAGTTTTTCATGATCATTAATTATATGAATTATAATTTTAATTCGTAATTTAACTAGCAGTGATGATTAAGTCATTGTATACTTATCAAAGTATGATTTCAACTGCGATAAATACTGATGAATAATAAACGTTATCATCAATAAAAATAAAAATTTCATGACAAAAAATAATAGCTTAGTCTAATTTGAATTGCTTTTCGACACAACACCAAAGTGATTTAAAATGAGCAGGAAGTGAACATATGATGACTCTACGTTTGAGCTTACGCAAGCTGCAGCCTACAATTAGTAATTATTCACTAGCAGTTGAAAAATGCTGAATATGACAAATAATTATGATCAGATGGCACAATACATAATAAATACAATCAAATATATATATATGAATATGTAAATTTTGGAGTATAATTTACAGTTTTGAATGATAAATGGCCATTTAATGTACAACTGTATGCAACGTTACAAACATTTACATGCAGATTTTAGCAATGCAAAATATTTGCAAAAATTTTAATGAAAGTTTGAAAACATAAAGAAAATTGCAAAATATTGTAAAATATATTAAATCATTGTAAAATATATTAAATTTATTGTAAAACATATTAAATTAATTATCGACGCAATTCATTGTAAAATATATTAAATTAATTATCGACGCAATTTTCGTACTGTATTTTTAATATATTCAAACGATTTTCTACTCTTTTATCATCACTTATGCCAAATTTACGTTGTTTTATACATTATGCCTGGGAATAATAATGTTAACGCATTATCGATTCGATCACAGAATCCGTTTAAACTAAAGTTCTGTTGGAAACGTTCTCGCTGTAAAAGATTCAAAAATATAGTCATTTATTATCACTATTTGTTTCACTAGTTTATTCAGTAAATTCGCTTGTAACTATTCGAACTATTAGTACAAATGGAAATAATATTCCATTAGAACAACTAATAGCATACATATGAAACTTTATTTTATTAAAATATTGTTAGATTTATTGTAAAAATTGATAAAATGACTAAAGTACCAGAAGTTCAAACTCAAAACGAAATTTAAAAAAATCTATTTTTTGAGATTAGTCTTAAAAAGCAAAAGTTCAAAAAGGCAAAAGTTCAAAAAGGCAAAAGTTCAAAAAAGCAAATAAAGGCATTTTTTTTGATGAAAGAAAATAAATCATATTTTTATACTGTTCACATTACATACTTCAAAAACTTTCCTGGAAAAGTAAAAAAAAATTATTTATGCAAAAACTAAAAAATAATCAAAGGAAAGATTTGCATGAGATTTGGTGTATATTTTAATTATAAAAATGACAAAACAATTTTATAAAACGTAAAATATGAAGAAAACTGACTTGGAGTTTATAAATTTCATCGTTATCGAGCGCAGGCCAAGAATATCGCTTCATATGTGCATCCATCGCATCTGCTAGCAATTTTTCGTTAGGTGCATCGATCTGTAAATATAACTGATTCTACAAAAGGGACTGTTTCATTTACCTCTAACTTCAGGCTTTTGTATGATTGCTAAAACAGTACTGATAACTCTAACAAATAGCAGCAATAACTGCTGATATTTTCCATGCAGCTACTATTACTACTACTACCGCTACTACTATTAGTAATGATAATAATTATTATTATTTTTAATAATTCATTCACACCTTTTATTATTATTATATTATTACTACTATATCATAATAATAAAAGGTGTGAATTAATTATTAAAAAAATGCTTGTATAGTATTTTATATTTATAAATGTATAAAAGTGTTGTGCAATCAGGGGCATGTTACAGTGTTGTCAGTGCATGTGCAATAGCTGTTTTAATAAGGAAAATAGCCTGGATAACCTTTGATCCTGTAATTCCTTCTAGTACAGTTTCAGCTGGACCACCACTGTTGCATACAATAACGGGTCTGCGTTGCTCCAACGCTTCTATTGGAACAATACCAAAATGTTCATTGGGTGGCGTGTACAGTACGCTATCACATTCTCGATAAAGAGCAAACTTCTCGAAATCAGTGGGAGATGTTACAAATTCCACAATATCCTCCACCTGTGAATGACATTTACTTATTTTTGCGCCCTCAAATATGTTTCTGAAGTGTTCAAATGAAAATGAAATAATTTTCAATTTTACATTTAAAATATTTTTTTAGTACAATGTTCGTTTTTAAATATAGTCTTTAACTTTCTTTTATTTACTTGTGCAAACTATATTTCTCCAAGATCAATCTTGATCTGTTTTGAGATCAGTCTTAATCTCGAAGGACATTTCGGTAAGAAACTATATACTTTCACCTTTACCTTCAGTAATCTCTACTTACAAATCTTGCAATATTGATTCAAGAAGCATTCTTAAGGAATTTGTTTGATCTTTTCATGAAGTTCTTTAATTAAATTACAAATTTTTGTAAAGCGTGATGTGAGTTTTTTATTCATTTTTCCGATCCTTAAAAAATTTTTAAACAAAAGTAAATCATTTTTTATAATACATAATTAACTTACTTCAGCATCACGTACTAATTTTCGTAAAAAATGGTAGTAAATGCGTGATTCAGGTATATGTGGCATTACAGAACCAGCAAGTATAATACGAGGTATCAAATTTGAATTCCGTTTTAATATAACTAAAAATATCAAAATGAAATAATGTTTCGACAAGTTTGAAGAAGATTAATGCTTTGGTACATTTACAAATTAAAAAAAAAAGAACTCTCAAATTTACTAAACATTGCATAATATGAAATTTGACCTAGAGAATTAATTTTAGTTTAATATTTATAACGTCAATGAGTGGAAAACTCTGATAAGAGTACAGAATTACATTACCAGCAGCTCTGATAATAATATCAAGATTTTTTTCTGGCCAAAATCGGTTCATAGATAGA